CCCCCCCCCCCACCCGAAGCTGCTGAAGCAGAAACTGGGGATAGGACACAGCAGTCTGTGTCCTTAGCAGCCCTTTCATGATTCCTGCTCATGCTGACGAACCACCGCTCTAGGGTGGGGCTGTGAGAAGCAGGTTCCCAGACTGACTCCTGAGAGAACTCAGTGGTCTGGCCTCTGTGGGGCGTGGACTCCCAGTGGCCCATGACCACACTTGAGAAATACTACTTGCGAGTTTACCCTTGCTCCCTTGGGCATTTCAAACTTGTAAGGGCCTTGACATCTGTCAAGTACCACCAGTGGCCTGATGCTCTTGTGGGAAGCCTGCTGCAGAGACTCCTAGGCCCTCGGTGGCAAAACATGTGGCTGCCTTCCAACCATAATTAGTTGGGACGTGTTTTCTTTAAAGTCAGTAAGTACTCTGGTTAGGAATACACTTTTCAGAAGTACTGACCTGAGTTTGACTCAGAAGCAGACACATCCACATTTCTTCCGTGTGGTTCTTCCCCTGGTATAATTTCCACGCCTCTCTGTTTCGTAGGTTTTATCATCAGCCCGTGCTGAGGTGGTCCTCTCAGCCCCAGACCGCTCACGACCACGCCTACTGGAGAAGAAAAGGACAGGAGGTCGGTGGCTTGCTGGGGCCAAGGGCCCGAGAAGACCCAGAGGTCAGAGGGATGGCCCAAGCCCACAGTCTGCCCGTTCACATGAGGGAGGGCCCATGGGAAGTTGGAGGAAGGACAGAGAACGTGATGAAGAAGGCAGTTTGGGAAGAAGAGCTGAGAATGGCAGGACCTGCCAAGTGGCAGAATATAAGCCTGGAGAGCTGGAACCAGCCAAGGAAATTAGGGAGGCAAATGTCTGATGGTGATGGGGAGAGACTGTTTCAAGATCTGTACCCATTCGTGCAAGGAGAACATGTGCTGAATTCCCAAAGCAAAGGGAAATCCCAGTCATTGCCCAGGGTTCTTTCCCCTGAGGGCCTGAGTTGCATGGAAATTCCCATTCCATTAAATGACGGACATTTTCCAGGTGTTCCTAAAATGCCATTTTATCCCCCAAATTGTGCGCCAAATTTGGAATCCAAAAGGAACCCCGAGAAGGGGGGTTCCTCGGTCCCTTTCCCCCGGCCTAAGTTTGGGAGACCCCTCAAGCCTCCACCTTACGACTCCCACCAACACTCCAGGGCGGGCGTGGAGGCCAGTGACTCTCTGGACAGTCAGCAGGCGGACTTGTGCGTCTCCTACTCGACCAAATCCAGCGAGCCCCGGCTGGAGCCGTGCGCGCCCGACTCTAGTTTGGAGCCTCCCGTGTACGTGCCTCCGCCGTCGTACAGGTCGCCGCCCCAGCACATCGCAAACCCCTACGCGGAGGACACAGTGCCTGGGCCCGTGTGTGGTCCCCGTCAGCAGCAGCATCCGTTGGAGCCGGCCGGTCCCCCTGGCACCGGCAGTGAGTATGGTGCAAGCCCACACTCTCCTCGCGGGGTCCCTCAGCAGCCCCGGCTGACCACCGCGTACGACGGCTCCGTTCTGTATATTCCCTTTGACGACCCACGGATACGGCATTTTAAGCTGGCCCGCCCCCGGGGTTTCTGTCAAGAAACAACAGCCAACGAGAAGTCCTACAACTCTAGTCCCAGCACTGCCCCGGCCCCCGCTCATGGCAACGGTCAACAAGATGGTGCCGTTTTGAGCCCACAGAGTGTGAGAACCTCGCCGGGGGGTGTGAGCGGCCCGGCCACTGCCGATCCCAGTCTCTGGTGGCTGTGGGACCAGCTCCCCAGGGATGCGGAAAATGGCGCTCCTGACCAAAGAGCCCACGGCGCCGTGGGGGGAAAGTGGCCTGCCCTGGACGGCGGCCGGGGCGGGCACACAGAAGGCCTCGTCTCCCCGCCAAGCCCGCAGGGCGAGAGTACCTGTGAAACTCGAACCAAGCTCAAGAAGTTCGAAACTGGGATTCGGACCAAGAAAAGTTCAAAGAAGAAAATGAACGAGACAATATTTTGTTTGGTTTCCATCCCAGTTAAATCAGAATCACATCTGCCAGATATAGATACGAACAACAATGACTTAAAACAGGGCACTGATAAAAGGAATGGGCTTGATAAGAGCGCAGCCTTGCAGGAACAAAGTCTGCTGAGCATGTCTTCCACCGACCTGGAGCTGCAGGCACTCACAGGAAGCATGGTGGGGAGAACAGAGTTCCAGAAACAAGATCTGGGGGAACCAGAAGAAGGCAAACAAACAAATGACCTCAGATTCATTCACCCTGCACAACACAGAGAGCTCAAGTATTCTGGCTCGTGGCCAGGGCACCAGTACAGAGATCAGCAGACCCAAACCACTTTTGCAGAGGAGTCCAGAAGCGCGCTGCCCCTCCCCGGTCAGAAGCCGGGAGGCTCACCAAAAGCAGTGCTGACTCCAAAATACTCAGACCCTCTCGTCTCTGAGGCTCACGCGCCCACGGAGTTAGCTCCCGGCGACCGAAACGAGAGGCCAAGTGCTCATCACCCGAAAGGCCAAATGTCCCTCAGCCCCTCCAGCAACAGTGCTTTCTCAAGGACTTCCTCCTGCGTAAGCCAGGCACCTGTTTCAAAAGCCGGGCCCAGTCAGGCCTGCGCCGAGGGCCGTGGCCGCAGAGCCAGCCCCGTGCCCAGGGGCGACGTGGTGAAGGGGGAGACCACCGGCCCGTGCAACAGCAAACAGCTGTTTGGTCAGTTTCTCCTGAAGCCAGTTAGCCGCCGTCCGTGGGATTTGATTAGCCAGCTAGAGAGTTTTAACAAGGAGCTTCAGGAAGAGGAAGAGAGCAGTCCTAGCGGCAGCGACAGCGACAGCGACAGCAGCAGCGAGGACAGTGACACAGAGTGGCAGCCCGAAGGCCGTGCTGAGGCCACGGGCAAGCACTGGGGCTGCGGGGGAGACGGCCAGGCGTGGAGGGTTGAGGAGCCCGGGGCCAGGCCGGGAAGAGCCAAGAGTAAGTCCGAAAGCTGGAGCGAGGGGCAGAAGCCTGGCTGGCCTGGCACCCGTGCTCAGTGCCCGGGCCCCGTGGAGGTGGAAGGAGGCCGGGGGGCGGCGGTGGCGGCACACGGAGGCCCGATCGCCGACGAGGGAAACCAGGAGGTGGACCGCGCACTGAACACCGAGCCAGCCGTCAGCCCAGGTCCTGTGAAGAGAGCGGCTTCCTCCAGGTCAGGTGACACAAAACCAGTGCCCTCGTCGGATCCAGCCTCGCTGAGGCAGCCCCCGGGAAGCCAGGCACTGCCCCGTGTTCCCATTTCTGCCGAGCTGAGCCCAGCGACCCCTCGGAAGGCCGGTGGCGAGGAGGGGAGGAGCCCGCCGGTCCCGCTCGCTCTTGCCAACAAACCCCGAGGGCTCTCGGCGCCGGACTTGAGGTCTGTGGGACTGACGCGGGCACAGGAGCAGAGCGCCGGGAAGTCAGATGCGTCTTCAGGTGAAGCCAGTGCAATAGAAATCCCCCCAAATGAGTCCCTTCAAGCAAGGGCTGCGAGGATCCTGGGCATCGAGGTGGCCGTGGAGTCCCTGCTGCCAGGCACCAGGAGAACGGGACAGGACCAGCACCCCGAGCCTGACGGAGGTGGCCGCGGGCCGGAGGCCCCCAGGGAGGAGCCTGGGTCCGGTTCACAGCTGGATGACCCCGCAGCGTCCCCTGACGCCTTTTACGGCAGGAGAAAGTGCGGCTGGACCCAAAGCCCTCTCTTTGTAGGGGAAAGGGACAGCGCCCGTCGCGCTGCCCTGGCCGCTGAGCCCTCAGGTGCAGACGGGACTGTCCCCAGCAAGGCCCCCAGCCCCGAGCCTCAGTACAGTCCCCAAGAGTCCAGGTCCTTCAATCCCAAGGACATGGGGACAAAACCACCCTTCAAGTCCACCCTGTTCCATTTTATAGAAAGGACCCCAAATATGCCAGGCTCAGAAAAGAGGCTCAGAAGCACTTCCAAAGTGATTGAAAGTTTACAAGAAAAACTGGCTTCGCCCCCTAGGAGAGCAGACCCCGGCCGCTTGATGAGGATGAAGGAGGTGAGCTCCGTGTCCCGGATGAGGCTCCTGACCTCCCGGAGCGCTGACTCCACGGAGGAGGCCGAGGAACCGAAGGCCGAGAGGGACCCCGGGATGCAGCCCGGAGGCCCGGTGTCTCTGAACTCCGGGGACCTGGCTCGGAAGGCCGGGCTCCCGCTCGTGGTCTCCAAGGGCGCCCTCCCGCCTGAAGAAGACGGTCGTCCAACGGCACACGGGGAGAAGAAGACCGTCCATCAGGATTTCTGGTGCCCAGGTGAGGAGTCAGTGTGCAGGCAGGCGTTACAGAGTATTAGTGTGGTGCTCTGAGCGTGTCACGCCAGGCTGGGGGATGATGCCAGTCCTGCGCTGGTGAAGCTGATACTGTGCATTGTTGCCCCGAAAGGTTCTCCATTGTCCAAAGAATTATCCGGAGGCTTTCCTTAAAAATCAAGATCGGTAGTGTACCGTAAATGGTTGTATATTTACAGAAATTCCTTATGCAAGCAGCTATATATAGGTATCTATACAGACACATTTTGGGCCCCGTACCGTGCAGAGGTAAATCAGTAAAGTACTGGAACTGTGCTGCTGTACCGCGATGAATCTTGTAGGAGGCGACAGTGTGTGCTCTGCACCCTCCCTGAAAACAAGCGCTCCCCCCAGACCCCCACATGCTCTTTGTACCAACCTAATCATATGATTAAGTAAACTACGCAGCCCAGGATGCTGTCTTACATTGTACCTTCCAAAATCCTTTGGCCCTCATTTTATGTTTTTGCTACCGGCCATTTATGAAACTTTGAAAAGCTTTAGTAAACAAAAGGAGCAGTTTGCACTGTGTCAACACCCTAAACAGGGGGGCTCCATCGGTTAAGTGTCCGACTTTGGCTCACATGATGATCTCACGGTTCGTGGGTTCAAGGCCCACGTCGGACTCTCTGCCGTCAGCACAGAGCCACTTCGGATCCTCTGTCTCCCTCTGTCTCTACCCTTCCCCCTTTCACGTCCTCTCTCTCCAAATAATTAAATATTAAAAAAAAAAAAAAAAAGTTCACCCACCAGCCGTGTCCCATAAGGTCCCCTATGGTCTTATGCACTAAAGCCCAGGACAGAGAACTTAGGCAGCAGGGCCTGACACGCCTCTGGGCCCTCTCCCTTCTGTCCCCTTCACACCTTCAGAGTTGCTCTGGTTCAGACCACAAGGCGGGTTCCCAGTGGCGGCAACGGGGATTTTCCCCAAACAGTCTCAGCCTCAGCTCTGACACAAACAGGGATCTCTGTTTCTGGCGTTTTCTTCAGGGCTGGGGAATTATCGATTATGTATCCTAGAACTGATTCGAAGAAGAGTTGTACATGTCAGAAGGCCCACATGCAAACCGCAGACAGAAGAGACCATGAATCATTCACACCTTTTTACAGCGAGGCGAATCCGTTCCCTTGTGTGCGGGACAGCAGGGACCCTGGGTCCCAGGCCCACCTCCGGAGCCCAGCCCTCTAGTCTTCCTGAACACCCCCGTTCTCTGCTTCCTGTGGTGAAATCCAAGGATTTAAAAGTCAGTGGACAAGCTCGCTTGTTTTCAGCTAGAAAAATCCAGAATTTTTGTTTCATGAAACGCCTACTTGGCACTTTAAAAATTTTCCCACAAATGCAGTATGATTCTTCAATGTTTTTTTTTTTTTTTTTTTTTAATTTATTTTTGGGACAGAGAGAGACAGAGCATGAACGGGGGAGGGGCAGAGAGAGAGGGAGACACAGAATCAGAAACAGGCTCCAGGCTCTGAGCCATCAGCCCAGAGCCCGACGCGGGGCTCGAACTCACGGACCGCGAGATCGTGACCTGGCTGAAGTCGGCCGCTTAACCGACTGCGCCACCCAGGCGCCCCTCACAAATGCAGTATGATTCTTAGGAGTGTTAGATGGTGTTGCTTGGTTCCTTATACAAAATACATTATTGAAACAAGCCATTTGTCAGGGCTCTGTCAGATCATCTGACTTAGCAAAGTTGGTCTTTTCTGAGAAAGAGAACACTAGGATGTGGAACCATTGCCATAAGGGCAGAAAAAGCGTTACATGGCCCATGTTTTAAGCTGTTGGGATTTATTAGGTTTCTCCTCCTCTCTTGGTCCCCCCGCCCCCACCTCCCCAAATATGCCCACTTGCTTTTCAGTACGAGTTAAAATGAGTTTCTTTATCAGTCCTGTCTCATCCTGAGAATTGTAAGAATTTTAAAATAAGACAAATCCAGGGCGCCTGGGTGGCTCAGTGGGTTAAGCGTCCGACTCTTGATTTCGGCTCAGGTCATGATCTCATAGTTTGTGAGATCGAGCCCCACATCAGGCTCTGCACTGACATCATGGAGCCTGCTTGGGATTCTCTATCTCCCCTCCCCCCACTATCTCTCTCTCTCTATCTCTCTCTCTCTCTCTCTCTGCCCCTTCTCTGCTCATATGTTCTCTCTCTCTTTCTCAAAATAAATAAATAAACATTTTAAAAAAATAAAATAAGACAAATCCTGCTATAATAAAACACCAGGGTGTAAGATTTCTATGTCTCAGTCCATGGGCACATATTCTGGGCAGTATTTTGTAACACAGAAGTTTTAGTTCAGTCAAGTGCCCCTCAATGTTTAGCGTGATCCCTTGGCATGTGAATGAGGTTGGAGAGGTATCTGAAAACATGTAGATCGTGCCAATTTTAGTGTTAGCTAGCCATCTAAAACACCTCTTCCGTGACCTTATTTTTTAAAAAAAAATTTTTTTTTCAACGTTTATTTATTTTTGGGACAGAGAGAGACAGAGCATGAACGGGGGAGGAGCAGAGAGAGAGGGAGACACAGAATCGGAAACAGGCTCCAGGCTCCGAGCCACCAGCCCAGAGCCCGACGCGGGGCTCGAACTCACGGACCGCGAGATCGTGACCTGGCTGAAGTCGGACGCTTAACCGACTGCGCCACCCAGGCGCCCCCTTATTTTTTTTTTAAACATAGTGACTAACAAGTAGAATTTTTTTTTCTCCTCTCCACCTGATGCATTTGTTAATCAATAATGAAATGACCCAAAATCTAAAGGCAGAGAGATACTCATGATGCCACACAGATACCGGTGGCATTCTTAAGCAATTGCATAGCAGGACACCCCGAAGGACGGTTTCATACCCACATAGGGGCTCCGGTGAACCTCCGTCAGTCCTTCATGGCATGGTCACCAGGCCTACACAAAATCAATCGTCTGGAGAGGAATGTGGATCATGTGACTGAGATAGTCAAACTCTGAGATATGTTCACTTTTCCACTAGTCGTTTTACAAGTTAGAGTAAAGCCTTACCACGTTTTCACAGATGGACTTCTTGGACTTTGTTTTCCTTTTGATACATTTTATCATTTTATGCGCAAGAATTATCTCCGCCCCCACCCCTCCCCTGCCCCCCTCAGCCCAGTGTGCAGGAACCACTTCACTGCTCCTGAATTCACAGCCCACTTAGATTCGGATTTTGTTCTGGAATTTTAAAATAAAACTATACTGTGAGTATCTGTAACCTCCTCCCACCCCCACCAACATACACACATGCACACACCCTTCTAGAACTTAATGATCTGTGTTGTGATGGAGCGCCTACTGTATCATAAAGTATCTTCACACCGCTGAAAGACAGTCCTTTCAGCTGACATCTTTTTAGTGGTCTTTTGGGGCTCTGGCCAAGAAGTCAGCACTTCAAAACTAACTCAGGTGACAGCAGTCCATCCCTTCTGGGTGGATTGTGTTCCAATTCGGAAGTGTAATCCCAGGCACTGGCAGTGCTCAGAATGTTCTGGCTCCATCAGCTTTGGTGGCACACTCCATCCATATGGGTGCGGGAGGGAACAAGGAGAGACCAGCCAGGGAGGGTGCGATGGAGCCGTCTGAGAAGGCTGGATGTCAGCACGATGTCAATGGCAGTAGCCCTCGAGGGTGTTAATACACAAAATATCCACAGGGGTTGGGCCTTACTGAATTGTCTTCACCTGAAATATTGCCCACCAGAACCAGGATTCTAACTACTCAGTAACCTGTCTGTCTTCTAGACCTGCTAGCTCCTTATTACATGTGGGTCCTTGAGCGTTTGAAATGTGGCTCATCCGAACTGAGATGTGCTATACGTGTAAAATACATGCCAGAATTCAGAGACTTAGCAGATAGAAAAGTTTAAATTTCTCAACAATTCTTATGTTGATTACCTGTTGAAATGATCGTGTTTTTGATAGATTTGGTGAAATGGGATATATTATTAAAATCAATTTCACCCGTTTCCTTCCATTTGCCTTTTTTTTTTTTTTTAATTTTTTTTTTCAACGTTTATTTATTTTTGGGACAGAGAGAGACAGAGCATGAACGGGGGAGGGGCAGAGAGCGAGGAAGACACAGAATCGGAAACAGGCTCCAGGCTCTGAGCCATCAGCTCAGAGCCTGACGCGGGGCTCGAACTCACGGACCGCGAGATCGTGACCTGGCTGAAGTCGGATGCTTAACCGACTGCGCCACCCAGGCACCCCAACCTTCCATTTGCCTTAACACAGCTTGTAGAAAATTTTAAGTAATGTTATGTGGCTCACGTTATATTTTTATTGGACCTACATGCTCCACGATCTGAAGGAGCCCATTGTTCTCCAGAGTTCTAGCCCCAGTTCCCTGGCTCCAGGCCCTTAGCTTCATCAGTGGGGTTCGGGGGTACACGCACGGTCTGTGGAGGTGTCTCCCGGTGCCTGGCCCGAGGTGAGCTGCTCAGTGCCCACTGTCTGTGTACCTCAAGGCTCAGTGGATGCTTAGCCTCCTGGCCTGTCACCAGCTGAAAGCGTGCCCTTCCTACCGTGTCATCCATTAGTGACCGCTCTCCTCATTCTCGGTGGAGAAGAAGATATTTTTGCTCAGAGGAGGCCCCCCACTCAGAAGCAGCCCCACTCAGAGGCTGACTGAGCACAGAAGTGTAGCGCTCAGCTGTTCACATCCTGTGTCGTCACACTGGGCGTCGTTCAGCGTAACGTGTCAGAAGGCAGCCGACCCACCTGGACTCCACTTGCTTTCAGCCCAGTGGTGCGGTAAATCACGTTCGAGGAGGAGCAGACTGCTCTTCCTAAACGCAGACGCTTTGTCCTATCTGGCTTGTGATGTTGGGCTCAAAGTGCCGTAGGCACGCTCTTAGCGTCACGGTTGTCTTACGTGCGCTAAACATACGGTGGCTATGCCGAGAATGTGTGAGGAGACGTGGTAGCACATTTTGTGGCTAGAAAAATTGGGATGTACGTGGCCTTCGTGATGTACAGGGGTCCAGATGGGTTTGGGAAGAGATCGTTCTGCCACCGTTTTTATAACCGTCAAATTGTACCAATCCTCCTAGATTTCCTAAGCATTTTCTCTTAAATAAAAGTCAGGACGCCTTTGAGCTTCTGTGGCAGGAAATTCTGGCCGTAGGAGGCACACGTGTGGCCTTGGGGCTTATGTGGGTCCCGGAGGACTGTGAATCCCGGGGTGGTCAGATCAAAATCACCCAGCTGTAGGACTAATATCAGCTTCGGACCATCGTTCTGTATGGTGGCCCATTTTGGAAATGCAGCTCACTCGGGCCCAGGCTGGGATTTTCCAGTTGTGGGCTGTAGAACGGGTCAGTGTGGTGGCCCAGGCTCCTACACCCCTGTGCGTGGGAAAGGCCTAGAAGAGTGTGTGAACAGGCCTGTGTCCAGGCCTGGGCCTGTCTGCTGGCTGATGGCGGCCGGAGACAAGAGGCCTCTCATTGCTGGCCAAGCAGTCAAGATTTCAGGGTCCTCAAGCCTTCCAGGGACAGCATTTGATCACAAAGATGCATTTTTTAAAGCAAGATTTCAGTGGAGTTGTAATTTATAAGAAACAAAAACAAAACAAACAAGCAAACAAAATCCTTGGTATCAGCCAAGCATGCCTTTGCTGGTTTATGTGTTGTATTTAAAGTTAATGTTGTTCCACTGTGGACAACAGGAAAAGATTATCAGAAATTAAGCAACTAACATTTTTCTATCAATGATTAGGTAATGATCATACGTGTCCTTTTAAAATAGCCTTTGTAAGAATTTTTTGATTTTTTAGTTTTAGAGAGAGAGCTCGTGCTGGCTGGGGAGAGGGGCGGGGGAGAGAGAGAGAGAGAAAGAGAGAGAAAGATAAAGGAAAGAAAGAAAAGAAAAGAGAAAAGAAGAAAAGAAAAAAAAAAAAGAAAAGAGAAAAGGAAAGAAAAGAGAAAAGAGAAAAGAAAAGATCCCAGGCAGGGATCGTGACCTCCGTTGAAATCAAGAGTCTGACGCTCAACACTGAGCCACCCAGGTGCCCCGAAACAGCCTTTTGGTGATAAGTTTTTTTTGCCTCTCAGCGAAAATAATATTGTTTAAATGTTGAAGCATTAACTCTACACTTGTGGATTTTGCTCCCTAAACATACTTATTTATGGTCTGAGGATTAAACCAAAACATGCAAATTGAATATACTACTAATTTTTTTCTTTTTTTCTTTTTTTTCTTTTATACAGATTCATACGACCCTAGCAGAGTGGAGAGGGTGTGAGGAGACGCCAGTGAGCACGGGACTGCCAGAGTTTACTAACTGAGTGTTCTCTCGTTTAGCCCGACTTGCCCGTGTGTAAGCTGGAGACTACTGGCCCTTCGTGTACTGCGTAACATCCTTTACCACTGCCACCGAGAACTTCGTCGTCCCCACGGAATCGCTGTGTGGAAATAAAGCATTAGTCCGTTGAAACCATCTGTTTTTATAATATAAAGAGTGAATGCCTGTATTTGGAAAGGAGTCACATAAACTCTCCTTCATGACGGGTTTCGCCAAGCTGGTAGATAGTTTGGTGTTAATCTGGTTCTATGTGAAAATTCAAACGTGAGTGATTTTAAAAGGACTGTGAATGTCGTAAATTCCCCTCTGTGTCTCCACGGCCTGTGGTCCGCGCTTGCGTTAAGGAGTTTGGGACGTGGGCCAACTGCCCAGCGTCCCGGCGCTTTGAGTTTAGGGGAGACGTGATGAATACATCTGACCCATTTCTAAGCAATTTGGCCTTCTGCTGCTGTAAGTAACTCTGTTTATAAGTAGCTTGCCATCAGAGGATAAGAGCGATACCTTTTAAGTTTCTAAAAGATTAAAACTTGTACCATAATGTACTCAGAGTATTATTTATCTGGCAGTGAAATCCTTCGATCACTCGCAAACATGCCACTGTCTGCTTTGCACTCCGTACTATTTTTATGTTCTGTATGGATGTTTAGAAATCCTTTATATGAGAAATGACTGCTGGTTTAAAATAGACCATTTTAACAAAGTAACTCTATTTCTTTTTACAAAAATGCTATTTTTCTATGATGTAAACAATTGTGAGGTGGCAGATTTTTAAGGAAGTATTATTTTATTTAAGAGTCTGTATCCCTTTGTGTGAGAGGAGCCCCCAAAAGGGCTCGGATTTTGCTTTAAAGCACACGTCCCTTGCCCACTCACACCTCAGCCACTTTTATTTTATCTTAGAGATGTCACTATAGACAGTTTACAGGGTTAATAAACTTTTCATGAAGATGCTTTTGCAAATGTAGCTGTAAGGTTATATTTGAAAATAACCCTCTTAAAACCAGCCAACATCCTTACAACTATTTTTGCTGCCATATCCTCTAGGATTACCAAAAAAACATGGTTTCATCTTGATAGGTCCCAGGATCAACCGTGGGACCAAACTTTCCTCCCCCTTCCCCCTGCCCCTCTATGAAATATGTATTTTTATCTGGGATGGTCGTTAATTATTAGTCTCGGCATATTTTTTAAAAGTGCTAGAGACATTATATATATGCCATCACTGAAGTATTACGAGGCCTATGCATTCTGCTGTGTTTACCGTTGCAGTAACATGCACAGAGTTAATGGGTCTTCATGCTTCTGCCCCTCCTTTCTAAGTAAGGTGTTCTCGTTAGCGAACACTTCCTGAATGGGTTCTTGTCGCCTTCCTTCCGCCTTCCCTTTCCTGTCCTTCCTTCTCCCTCTCTCTCTTTCTCTCTCTCTCTCTCTCTCTCTT